AAAACAGAACATAGCTAAAAGTGTTCATTTCATTTTGGTTCTTCTAGCGCTAAAGTTTCACTTTTTATCCTGGTTAGCGCATAAATTAACCTTTACTTTGTCGAGATTAAAAGCAGAACAAACACATTCTACAAGTGTAGTTTCAATCTTTATTAAAATGACTCCATACAGCTGTTACAGTACATTATACTCGTATCTAAATTTAGCATCACAATACTAAAGTGTCATCTAATTAAAGAATGCACTGTAGTACTTTAATATTTTGATTGTGGACGGTCTTGGGCGTTCGACTCGATACGGTGCAGTAAATTCGTCGACCTTGTAACTTATTCCACTGTTTATTTGCATTTTTACTGCCACATTGTTTATATTTACATATCCTATACAAATAGTTATTTAATGGGTTGTCCCACTATGTATATATAAACCATGTTGTCACTAACAGTTTGTTGAAAATTCTAAGTTGTTCCGTTATTGTAAATGTTTTAAATCTGAACCATGGGTTGAGGAGTAAAACTAAATGGAACTTATTTGTAAACAATGTAAATGCCCATTTGTCACTACTAAAAGTTAATGCGGTTTGTAACAGTACAGTTGTATGTCACTGTTGTCTATGTTTAATATTTTAGAAAGCTTTGAACTAGTCAAGTAACAATAGAAAAAGTAGAATCTGGGTTTCTTTAATATCTTTTAATTACCCCGTCTTACTATAAAAAATGTTTTCCTAAGTGATATTCTAATATAAATGTAAAGAAAATTGAAAATGACAATTAATCACTTTTATTTTGTCTATAACAATAAACATAATATAACAATATTATGATTCCTCAAAATATTTTATTAAAGTTTTCTAACCTTTTAACTACATCACAAAATCAAAATAGGTTAAAAAAGAAACCTGTATTATTTTTTTATTTAAGTCCTAAAAAGATTAAATATGCGATGTGACGTTTTTAAACGAAATCGTCCACTAAACGGACAGAGATAAACAAGGCTAATAGATAGAATCTGTTATAATAAAATAATACCTATTAATATACAGATTAAACATAATATATGAAATTATTATCATAAATTCGAAATATTAGTAATTAGCGGTAAATTAAAAAAAAAAACAAGTAATTATCTAAAGTTTCAGATAATAAGGTATTTTTTATAAAGTATAAGTATGTTTTTATTCAACATTTTTGAAAAATTTACATTTTTATTTTCTTTGCGGTCGAAGGAAACTTCAGAAACTTTCGTTACATTTACATTGGCAGTTTATTCTCTTATTCTATTGCTAAGTTGTCAGTGCCAACAACGGCCCGTAATAGCGGCTTGTCGTTTAAATATAAATATGTCTACAGTACCTACACTCGATTTGATGGCAACAAAACGTCAATGCAAATGTCTCGCTCTATTGATGAATCGTAAGCTGGAATTGTTAATATACTGGGTGTCCCGCATAAGAACCGACACAGGGCAGGTGCGTGTAGGGGTGTCCAAAATATTGTGAATTAACCAAACTTACCTATATATAAAGTTGCACCCCTGAGGAGTTTTTAGCCCCCAAAGTGGGGCCCTAAATTTCGAAAAAAAAATATCTGCAACACTTTACCGTAGAAGAACCAAATTTGGTACATGATTTAGGTTTATTACTGGTCTTCTTTGACTATGATTTAAAGTCGTTAATTTAAGCACTACAAGGTGTTCATTGGGGACGACTCACCCCTGAAATTGTACCGAACTTTTCTTTCATTGACCGAATTGAAAAATAATAATATTAATTCACAGCAGAATTTAATTTAATTTTTTTTTACTTTTGTTAAATTTTAAAAAAACTTTATGGTTTTCAAGAAAAACCGTATTAACTGACACAAGATTTTAGCAGTGTTCATTAGAAAATATTCAAAAAGTCAGTAGTAAGCTTTATCTTTCAAATTTGACAAATAAATTTTACTTCACTTCTCTCCTAATTCTACAAAAAGAAAACAAGTACCTAGGTAGTTTTTACATAAGCGAATATTGGTAAGTATTAAGTAAAAAATACAAATAAATAATAAAAATAATATTTGATAGTTTTTCAACAACAATCAGAGGCAATTGTTGAAATAAAATAATTTTATTATTAACTGACAAGTTTGAAAGATAAATTCATTGCCTATTACTGACTTTTTGAGTATTTTCTAATGAACACTGTTAAAATTTTGTGTCAGGAATACGGTTGTTCTTGAAATCCATAAAGTTTTTTAAAATTTAACAATAGTAAAAAAAATAATTAAATTCTGCTGTGAATTAGTATTACTATTTTTCAATTCGGTCAATGCAAAATAAGTTCGGTACAATTTTAGGGGTGAGTCATCCCCAACGAACACCTTTTAGTGTTTCAATTAACTTTAAATCATAGTCAAAGAAGACCAGTAATAAACCTAAATCATGTACCAAATTTGGTTTTTCTACGGTAAAGTGTTGCAGATATTATTTTTTTTCGAAATTTAGGGCCATACTTTGGGGTCTAATAACTCCTCAGGCGTGCAACTTTGTATATAGGTAAGTTTGGTTAAATTACAATATTTTGGACAACCGTACATGAACCTGCCCTGTGTCGGTTATTATGCGGGACACCCTGTATATCGGAAACATAGAACCATCGATTGTGTATTTATCTTTATAGTCCCTAGAAAAATGTACAAACAAACCTTCACAAACCAATCAAATTTATATATTTTGTTATTTCTTGTTTTTGCATAACTATCCAAGACCAAAAAAATTAAGGTCCTTTTCTCTTTGACATCTGGCCTTAATGGACCCGTTTTTTTGAGGTTAGAAAAAGAACCATCAATTCTGATCGCGGATTCACGTTTAGCGGGGTCTTAACCATATAAATGAAATTTGAATATAGAAAAACTTTTTTGTATTTTTCCTAGCACTTTTTTATGAATTTTTGAGGTTAGGAAATTCCTGTGATGTGATAGCTCAATTCTGACACCGGATTCGTGATCAGGAGGCAAAAATACTACGGACATATGTCGCATGAAAAGTACAAACAACTTTTTTTTATGTGGCTCTGTAATTTTTTCCGCTCAGAATGAATTTACGTACGAGACGCAAGACAGTTCTAGTTTAGGATGATCCACTTCAAGCTGCGCTTGCATCCAATGCTTAAACTCATCCCAAACTAGTCCAGGATCCTCCATTGTATTTACTTTACTTTTTGTCTTAGCCTACCATTGAAGTCGCCAACATAACATTATAGGTTTTTACAGTTGCTCGATCAAGTATGCAAATAACTGAATAATAATGAAAGAATGCGGCTGTTGACATTTTCTATTCTATACTATAAAAAGATATTGTCAGTGTGTAAATATTTCAGCATTCATGCTATGTTTTAAATGTCTTGGAGGTCCTGGAAACAGGATGTTCAGTTTTTTTTATAATCAGTCATAACTTTCGTCAGTAATTTTCGCCTTTAAGTGTACCAGCTGCTTTAGCTTGTTAAACAATTATGTTATTATTATTTGCTTTATAGACATCTTTAATATCTAGTAAATGGGTAGTAGCTATTATAAGTTATAATATAACCAGAAACCAGAATAATGAACAAGAAATTATACATATAAGACTTTTACTTTTATAAAATCGCCTTTTCGACATGGATATACAAGATGATTACAATCTGAAAAATATCCGATATGCAATGAATTTGTACAAATGTCGTAGTGTATCAAAGAAATAAAGATTCCTGATTTTTTTTTAAGTAAAGACTAATAATGAAAAAAAAACATTGCAAATGTATTTCTGTGTACTTTGCTCATGAATAGCTTTTTTTAATTCACTGGGAAAGCTCGCCAAACCCATCGTTCCAATGAGTTGGTACACCTTGAATAAAAATAATCATTAATCAGCCACTTAAAAACCCTGATTTATGTTCTCTTTCGTGCGTTCACAACGAGAATTGTGTCTGCCTTAAGGGAGTGTTCTTGGAACGCATCTTTAAGCAATTCAACCGGAATAAAAGGGCGTTTATCGTATTATTCATTCTTTGTTCCTATTCCGTTGGAATTAAGCATAATTAATTTCATTTTATCCACCCAATTAACCATGTAGTACATGGACAACACACGTTTAATTGCATACTATTTTTGTTGCAGTGCGGTAGTTGTCTTGTTCTATTAATAAACTTTTCACATTGCTGGCAAGAGACTGCATGTTAATTTTTATTACACAGAAACACAAGGTTTATGAACTGTAATAACTATGATCTGTAACTTGACAATTGACGAGCACTGACCCGCTAGAGGGGTCTAAATTTGTGACGCTCTTTATCATTTTTCATATCATTTAAGTACGTCGACAAACTTTATGGAGAGATTATTTCAGTAAAAAGATTGTAATAAATATGGGTCCATAAATTAATACATAATTGTTTGCGAGATACAGGTTGTTGAACTTAGAAAAAAATAATCTTTTCTAAAATATCTAAAAGACATTCGATATAGAGTGACGAAACTTAGGTTAATGATTTATCTAGTAGAAATCCACAGAATTTGGATATAAATACATGGACCAGTGACGGCCCGTTGGTTAAAAAATAAGGTGACTGTGTTTACAGGAAAAGGTGTAGTACATTTACACCTTTATTTCACGTAAATTTGTATAAAGATGTATGAACCAACCATCCGTAAAATCAATTACTTAGCTTGAGCAAGCAAGTGTACCTATTTATTTTAATATTTTCGAAATATAAAAATGATAAATTACAGATTTTGTAGTTTGTTTGTTAATGGTTATTGTACCGTTCGAAATATTTGCGTGAGGAAGTTAATAATACTATTCAAAAAGGAAATATACAGTCATACTGCAAAGCAGGGTTATTACTATGGTTGTGAAATTCGAGTTTATGCTTTCTGCTCTTGCACTGGTTTGTAACAATAGAGAATGGGTAACTTTTATTTTTAAATTTTAGTTATTACTATAGAAATAGCCGTTGTAAGATCTAATTTTATATTTTGTTGCAGGGAAACTAAGCAAGGATAGATATTTAGACAAGTGAGTATAATAACTCGTTTCTGCTTTCATTTGGATTATGAATGAAAAATATGCAACATTCATTCTCGAGAACCTAACATAATTTGAAAAAAATATGTCTGGTAACTTTTTTTGAGCTTGTTTTTATTTACTACTGCTAGAATTTACTATGCTAACTAAAAGAAAATATGCTTGTTCATTTTTCGGATGAATAACTAGTCTGAAATAAACTTATTGTTTTTATTTCTAGACACAGTTAAGTTCAGATTTATGTAAAACTTTAAAATTCCGTTAAAAAAATCGTAAACGAATTACAGTTATTGAGACATGACGTAAAATCAAAATTAGTCTTCAAATTTGCATACTTCGTGTGATTACGAACGTTATACAAGTAGGCTATATTGTTTACCATGTTTAGAGATATCAAATAAAATGGCGTGATTTAATTCTGATTTACAGTTATGCAAATTTCACAACAGTACCTAACGTATGCCAATAAATGTTATACAATGAGAGATTAGAAAGGCTAATTTTGCACGGAATACATTAAATTTAATACGAATATGTAACTCGTTCTGATTTTTGACATACGGTTGTTAATCATACAGTGGCGTGTACAAGAAATTTTTACAAAATGGAACTGATCACAAAAATGTATTAATATCAACCTTTCACCCCTTTATTTATTTATTTACAGATTTGGCAACCCAACATATTGATAAACAATACAAATTACAGGGTGCACTATAGATAATAATATAATATAATATACAAAACTAAAATGAAATAAGAATACCAACTTACAATATATGTACATATTAATACAATAAATAAACAATCAATATTAATAAGTAATTAGCTAGTTTTAACAAAATGATATGATTAAGGTTAAAAGAAAAACAAAGGAAAGATAAACAAACAAAAAACAAAGCACAACAAGAAAAAGAGAAGAGAAAAAACCATTCCTTGACGTTTAACCGAGTTGAAAGAGAGGCTGAAAATCTCGATATGATTAAAAAACAAATTATAAGATTTTTGCAACATACTAAATGGGGAGTAATTTGCAGCATTGGTGGCATACGCAGAGTGATAGAATAAATTTGAGGAGCGCGAAATATATAGTTTAATATTAAATGATAGTGAGCTCAAAATGTAGCTGCAGTGAATTTTTCCGATAAATAAAACACAGACCAACAAAATTGAACTTTTTTTTGGAAGCATAAACTTGAATATATATTTCCGCAGGATTTAGGTGCGCTGAATCCGAATCTGGCAGCAGAATTGCTCTATCACGTCAGGTTTTTGAGATATCAACGAAAAAGTGCAAAAAACATTGTTTTTCGTCATATTTGAGGTTATGTAGTAATGCCTACTCTTTTTCAAAAAACTAATACTTTGAATCAAAAAGTACAAGGCACCCGCCTTCGAATGCCGTTGAGTTTACTCAAATATCTTTTTTTTTTCGTTGAGATATCACATGTTGAAATTTTTAAGTTTCTCAGTTTCTTAATATGCGAAAATCTACTAAGAATCCCTTAGACATCAAGCAGTCGATTACAATTCAGAAACTTCATAACCAATACAGTTTGTGGGTTTGGAGTTGGTGGGCTTGGAGTTTGTAGGTTCGGGTTTTGTGGGATTGGGGTTTGTGGATTTAGGGATTGTGGGTTTGTGGATTTGGAGTTTGTGATTTTGAGTTCGTATGTATTGAAAGTTTCTGAACTGCAATCAACTGTTTGACGTCTAAGGGATCCTTAGTAGATTTTCGCATATTAAGAAACTGATAAACTTAGAAATTTCAACGAAAAAAAAAAGATATTTGAGCAAACTCAACGGCATTCGAAAGAGGGAGCCTTGTACTTTCAAATTATATGTATTTTTTTTTAAAGGATAGATGGCATTACTACATAACCTCAAATATGACGAAAAACAGTGGTTTTTGCACTTTTAGGTTAGGATATATCAAAAACCTGATGTGATAGAGCAATTCTGCGGCCAGATTCAGCGCACCAAAATCCTTCGGGAATGCATATTAGTGTGTCTGCTTCTTAACCCTTGTCGACCTGTGTAATTTATGCAATAAAAGAACATATGCGATATGTCTCCTGGAGGCTGTAAATTCGATTCATAGTTTAGTGGTAGCAAGTGCCTATTAAATCGATAGTTTAAGTTATAGATAAACTTTTGATGGACTTTTTCTAAACGTTCGATATATTTAAGATATAGAGGATTCCACACTAATGTCGCAAACTCAACGCAATATGGTTAAGGACCTGGGATCACGAAAGGATTTAGTTACACGTAAAATAAATCGCAAAGCCTTACGCACAGCATATTCAACATGAATTTCAAAAGACAGTTTAGAATCCAAAGTGATACCCAGATCCCTAATGAAATCCACTTTTTGTAGCAACGTATTGTTTATTTTATAATTAAAATCAATATTATTTCTTAGACGGGTGAATTTAATGAATTGATATTTATTCAAGAACAATTTGTTAAAGTTACAGTAATTGGCGAAACGGTCGAGATCAGATTGAATATTCAGACAATCAGCAATAGATGAAATTCTTGAGAATATTTTCAGAACAGGAGCCAATGTCATTAATAAACAAAGAAAAAAGTAATGGTCCCAAATGAGAGCCCTGCGGTATATTTGACGTAGAGTGATTGATTGACCTATTAGTTAAATAGGATTTTATACATCTTAATATATTCTCAAGTATACCGATTGGAGAAATGTATAATAAGATTTTTATATTGAAAGCCTCAAATATCTTAGCAGGTATCGATAATAATTCAATTCTTGAATCGCCATGTAACTATAATGTGTGCCACCTTTTCAGAGACTAATAAATAAAATAAAAAAAAATAATAGAAAATGAAATGATGAGACAAAAAAATTGCCCTGTATAGTTTTATTTTTGAAATAACCATTATTTAACTAGAAATTAAAAAATATATAAAACTAAAACGAATTTATTGGATCACTGATGTGCTTAATGGCGCTATCTATTAAAAGGAAGTTTAACTAAAATTACATCTCACTGCCCTTTTAAATATTTCAGTCAACGCCTTTTATTTACCAACAGGAAGACAGAGGAGTTACTTAAGTAAGACGTTTTCTGTAATATCAACGTCATAGTCTAGTATAGGGGTCGGCAAGTAATTTTAGGTGGGGTCCGGATATTTTTGAAAATTTTTAACAAGGTCCAGAAAAAAAATTCATATTTCTTACAAATTTATTTTAATTTGGACTCAAATTTAATCTGCTTACTAACCATTAAGAACTCAAAACACTCACACAATTGTAAAATTCTAGAAAAAATGATAAGGTTGGCACTCAAACGTAAAAAAACATTTTTTAAATAATTTATTTGAGTAATTTATACTTTCAAAAAATTTTTGGCGGTCTCGTATTTTACCTTCCGCGGTCCGGACCTGGACCGCGGTCCGCCAGTTGCCGACCCCTGGTCTAGTACATCACAAGTTGATAACAATTTTTAAAATCAAACAGAAATTTATATAAGGAGTTATTAGTGAAATTGCTTTACGATTCGCACTAACTTTCATTGTATGATTATATGTGTGATAAAACACTTCACATTTTTTTATGCAAACACCCCATTGCAGTGACATGTGCGTACTATAATATTTCGTTTCCTGAAATGTGATATTTATGTTTAACTAACTTCCTGTTGAATGAAAAGAAAGTACATGCATTTTAGAAAGTTGATGTGCGTCTATTAATCTTTTAATTAAATCAAATGATTACCGATGCTATCATCAATTCAATTAATGGGTAATGAGTAGTTTATTAGCGATATATATTAATTATTATTAAGCCTCTCGATGTCGCTACTTTAAATTTTTGTAGAAGAAAAGCTTGACTTTGGTTTTATTGGCAAATCATTTGTAGGTAAGACGGATAGCAGAAAACAATAATTTATGCTATTTTGAATGTAATTTAAATAAACGTGTTTTGACTTGTGTTTCGCGACCAGATCGTTGAACGAAAAATTAAATCGTTTTATCGATACGTTAAATACAAAGTAAACAAGAGATATCTATTTTCTTGTTTTCAAGAACATATGTATAATAATAAGACATCTACCCTTCATTCTACGACAAGGTTAGTCTAGAAGTCATCGACTGTGACGTATTAATATAAAGGGTGTCCCAAAATTCACACATGAAGTAATTTTGATAGAAAACACAGGTTTTCAATTAAAAATTGTCAAATTTTTATAGATTTATACAGTGTACAGTATAAGATTATGTATAGAATAGCATATCGAGTAAATGCTCAATTTACACCTTCACAGCATAGCTGGTCGTGGGCTTGTTGGCATAAACCTTAAGACTTTAAAAAACCCCAAAGAATTTTTTCTTGGACTTTTGTCCAATGGCGTTAAATCGTATGATCTGGCCGGCCAATTTTGATTACCAAAATGGGAAATTACACGACCGAGAAAAGACTCATCCAGTAATTGAATTTGTTTCTCGGGATGTATGGCATGTGGCACCGTCTTGTTGAAACCACATGTCGTCTACATCTATAACTTGCAATTTAAGCACAAAAAACTGGATTATCATGTCGCGATAGCGAGCACCATTAACTGCTATTGCCCGCCTTTTCAAAGAAGAATGGTCCGATGATGCTTCCAGCCTAAAATCCGTACCAAACAGGGACTCGCTGTGGATGTATTTGTTTCTCAACAATCACTCGTGGATTTTCTGAACCTTAAATGCGACAATTTTGTCGATTAACGAAGCCATCAATATGAAAATGAACCTCATCGCTGAAGATGATTTTGTTCGAAAAATCAGCATCCACTTGTTGTTCCATAATCCAATCAACGAACTATCTTCGCTCTGCGTGGTCAGTAGGCTTCAGTTCTTGAGTCAATTGAACTTTGTAAGAATGAAGGTGCAAATATTTCGTGATAATACACTGTAGTCAGCTTCTCGAAATGCTCAATTCTTGACCACGGTGCTGAATTGATGTTCCTGGACTCTCA